CAGACAAAAAGGAAACATCTTAAGTTTTTGAAAGGCTATTTTAAACACTGATGGCTAGTGACAGCCATTTACTGTACAAGTTACATTGATTCAAGATAAAATAAAACCCTGAATAATTTCCCTTAGAAAGAAACTGAAGTACACAAACTGTACGAAGTGGATATATCTGCCTCTCTGAACCCTTGATTTCATTTGTAGTATCTTGAGAGGGAAACAAAAATAACTAACTATTCCTTCAATATTTAGATTCACATAAATGTATAGCATGATCTAGACTCAATAACACATCAGCTATAATGTGAATGGGGATTTTTCAACCAAGTAAACTCGAAAAAAATCTCTATTCAGTCAACAATACTGACTTTTTAAAAAGCAAACTGTCTAGGCAAAAACAAATGATTAAAAGCTTTTACAGAATTTTTTCAAAAGGTTCTAACAGTACTTCACATCTGGAACTAGCAATTCTGTGTCAAAGAGCTCAACCCTAGGGAACTACTGCTAAATTATCATTACTATGTAAGTTAAGAGAAAGAACAATTAGGCTATATTTCAGACATGGAAAATTGAACAAGGAAGTGAGATGTCACAACAAATTGTTTAAAAACCATTTTTAATTTTCTGAAATAACTATTTACTGGCAAACAGTACAGAAACTAAATTCTTTTTCTTTACGAATGACCAAATACAGTAGTTAGAGCATCTATCTATCTAAATTACCAATAACTGCTACAACCTACAAGTCCCAAATTCTTATTTCTTTTAAAATCTTTCTACCTTTTCTTCTTCCTAGGGGCTACTTCAACCCTTTTCACATCTTCTGATCTGTTCTAAACAGAACTAAGCTACTTTTAGAACACTTCAAAACGTTCCTTTCACCTGAAAGAACAAAATCCATAGCTTCCCTATGACTCCCATGGGAAACTCTATCTTTAAAAGGAGTTCGTTTAGGTTATCAGAAAAAAAAAAAAAGGAATACACGAAGTCATAAGCTATTATGAGGGGGAAAATTCAAGGACCCTTTTTTTATCCTCCCTGTTTTCTAAAATGCTGATATGCTTTACAGTTATAAAACAGTATTTAATTTAAATGTTATAATATTCTAAGAATACTGTACGTTTCTAATTAATTCATTCAAAATTCCATATTTTGGGTAAATGATTTTCAATCTTATCACCTAACTTCTTAAAGGGACTAGTACCTCAATCTTTCTCAGCCAGGAGCCAATAACTTCATTTTTAATACTTCTTTTTGTTGACTGGTTGTGGCAAAATATACATAATAAAATGGCTAAAATGGTAACTTGTATAAGTGTACGATTTAGTGGCACTAAGTATTTACAATGTTGTGCAACCATTACCACTATCCATTTCAAGAACTTTTTCATCATCCCAGAGAGAAATTCTACCGATTAAACAATAACTCTCTATTCTCCCCTACTCTCAGCCCCTGGTAACCTCTATTCCATTTTCTGTCTCTAGAAGCTTGCCTATTCTAGGTATCTCATGTAAGTGGAATTGTACAATATTTGTCCTTTTGTGTCTGGCTTATTTCACTCAGCATTTTTTTAATACATATATACATTCTCTTTCATATTTTTAAAAAATTTTTAATTGATTTACAATGTTGTGTTACTTTCTACTGTACATCAAAATGAATCAGTTATACATATACTCACTTAGCATGTTTTTAAGGTTCATCTGTGTAGCATGTATCAGACTTTCATTCCTTCTTAAGGCTGAATAATATTACATTGACTGTATATACCACATTTTATTTATCCATTCATCTTCTGATGGACATTTGAGCTGCTTCCATTTTAATACATTTTAGAATAAAACAATATAGTATGGAATAATCAAAGTCAAGCGAGAATCTTCAAACTGGGGGAGCAGAGGGAAAACAGCAAAGGGAAAAATAGCTGAAAAGCCTTGTATTGAGGATTAAGGAATGAAAATAAAACTGTAAAAAGGAGCACATCTTACCATCGTCGCTTCTGAGGGCCCCTAGGCCCTTGGCCTGCCTCCCCAAAGGCTCACTAAACCAGAGGCCAAAGTGCCCCAGCTCCGCTTCACCTACCACCCAAGTCCTCATGCCCTCTCAGGGCTGGGGGAGGAGGGGCTAAAGGAAGGCGGGGTTCCATGTACATATTTATCTCCCCCTTCCACATAACCCCACAGACCTTTTGTACATTTTTACAGGGGTGCCCCTCCCAATAATCCCCCTTCCTGGTTAATTAAATGCTGGTTAAAAAAAAAGAGCACATCTTCAATAAGCATAGTTACTTCGTTCCATAATGTACCTGAAAACTCTAAAGATTTTAAGACTACCATTTAAGACACATCATGCAGCAAGAGGATAAGCTAGAACTACATTTGAATGTCATCTTCCAATCACTGATACTTCATATATTCATTAACAAGTAGGTTTGCAATGCCTGTTACGTGCCAAGCCAGGGGCAGGGAGGAGATAAATGTCACTGCCCTCATGGAGCTACCAGCTTAATGTAAGCTACAGAGAAGCTACATGATTTTTTTGAAAGACCAAAGTGATATGTAATTTCAAATTTTAAGTGCTATAAAGAAAAGAACACAGAACACTATACCAAACTAAAAACGGAAAATGTGATCTAGATTGGGAAGTCAGCCAAAGTTCTCTGAAAAAGACATATTCGAGCTGACACCTGAAAAAAACAACAACAGTTAACTAAGTAAAGGGGTCAGCATGTACAAAGGCTGAGGTAGGAATTAGCTTCCCTACA